TATATAAATAAATAAAAAAAGGAATTGAAGCCAATTACTCAGATGCGAGTAGGTAGTTACAAGTTTCGCCACCAGGTGGCTGAGTTGGGGGAAATAACATGGTGGGGTATTACAAAATTCCCTAAACTTGAATATTCATCAGTTTTAGTTGCTCACTTTTCATATTACCCTTTTGTATCTGATATTTATACAAATTAAAATATGCCCAGTAAAAGAAAATATTATCTGCCCAACACAAGAAAAGATATTTCACTTTTTGTGATTTTACAACATGGGCTCTATGGGGAATCTCCCCGACCTAGAAGTCACATTTTCAAAGAAAATTAAATTTTCAAAGTTGATAAATTCTTTTCAAAACCACATTTCTAGATGTAATTCTACATGTAGATTCCAAATATGACATCAGTTTGACTGAATTTTTGATGACGTAAATCAAGATTATTTCTACTCGCATCTAGTCTATTGAAATATGCAACTGTTAAAAAAAGTGAACAGTTTTATTATTCCCATTACAAAACTTGTAAATGTTCATTTCAAACAATTTAGGGGATATCTAAATAATCTAAATGTACATAGTTGGTTCATAAAAGTGAGGCAATGTTCAAAAGTTACTTGATCCGTTGTATATACACCTACCATTGGATGTTGCCCCCACGTAATAGACGTGGGAGATTATGCTTCTCAGCCAAATTCCTACTAGCGTACCATTTGCCCTCTTGGCCAATTTCATAAGTTTTTTCTTCAGGGACTTGCAGACATGCCATATGTCAAAGTAATGTTTGACACCCTTCCAGCACTCCCTAACCCACTTATTCACCATCATGTGCCGGTCCGTTATAAATGCCTTCACCTTAGACATTCCCAGGGAAGTTTTGCACCGTTTCAGGCCTTCAAGTTCCATGTGGTTGGAGGATGCTACTTCATTTTTCTGAAAATCATCAGGTAAAGAAATATGAACAGGGAGAAACTTCCATGAATCAATGATTATGAGGATTAAGTTCAATTCCAAAAATTGAACTACCTCAGATTATAAAGGGATGTATGGGAGACTATTTAGTAGTGTTGTCAATTAACTGCTTGAGCATTAACCAGTTAACTGGGTGTCTTTACCGGTGAAGTCGGTTAACCGGGGGAAATATAACATGATGATTTCAAATGAGATCTTGAATGTTGAAAAAAATCTTTTAGAAGAAATGTTATATTGGCGTTCATTTTTTACATTCCTCAAGTTTTACGTAAAAAAAACTTACTTGAAAAACAAACAGATTACTATGCAATGTAAGCGCAGGAATTTATAGGGATTAAAATTTTACACGGTGGTTAACCAGTTAACCGATTGAAACCTGACACCACTACTATTTAGCATTTTTAAGTGTTATTGCTGGTGATGAACAAAATATTCCACACCTCTAATTTGTTTCAAGAAGATCCTCTGCAGTGGCACTTAGCTGAAAATTAAACATAGTAAAATGACTGAAAAATTAGACATAGGAAACAAATGTGTATACTATCTTGGAATTCAAAGGGGGAGCTCGATGGTGATGTCCCTTTACTTTTCTGAAAATGAAAATATTATTTTAGCTGAACAGTAAATGAAGCAAGCTAGACACAAACTGCATATCCTCTGCAGTGGCACTTAACTGAAAATTAAACATAGTAAAATGACTGAAAAATTAGACATAGGAAACAAATGTGTATACTATCTTGGAATTCAAAAGGGGAGCTCGATGGTGATGTCCCTTCACTTTTCTGAAAATGAAAATATTATTTTAGCTGAACAGTAAACGAAGCAAGCTAAACACAAACTGCATATCAACAGATTCACCAGCTTTTTCATTGTACCTGTACAAGTTCTAGAGCTACAATTTTATTCCGGACCATGTCGATGAGCGAGTATGAGCCATACTTGGCACAGTGGCCCATACTGTCACATCTTCCATCTCCCCCTACGATCATGCCTGATTTTGCAGCTGTTTCCAACAAGACTTCCTGTTGCTTTTTCCATAGTCTACGGATTGCACCTGAATTTTGAATTTCACATTTTCCCTAATTAAAGTTTCCAAACATTCAATCATGCAGTAAACTAGATCAGATGCTTCAAAAAAGAGAATTAAAACCTCAGTGAGTTTCAAATACCATCTATCTATGGGTAGTTTTTTACCATCAAATTAGAGAATCTAGCCCTATCAAAACAAATTAAAACAAGTTTGGCCACATCATTCATTTTTTTATTGAATACACAGGTGTTATATATTAATTTAAAGATATTAATGCTCACCATGTAGGTAATTCTTCTGATGGTAGAAAAATGTTGAACGGCTGTACGCCTGAACCCCCCAACACTTTAGCTGCCTTAGGGTCTTTGTTGGAGTTGAACCTTTAATTACAGATAATCAGTTGTTAATGTCATAATTGATATGTGAATGTGTTAGTAAACATTTCTCTGTAGTGAAATCTATCAACAGTAAATGCTTTTGTTCTCCTACACATAGTGTACTTCAATCAATCAAAATCAAATCCATAAATAATGTAAGGCTACAAGAGATATTTAAATGATCTGTAGAATTCCTTGTAGAGTAATACAGCAAGAACCCTCTAAATGAGAACTTCAGTTATCAAAGTTCAACACTCAGATACCAGATTTGGGAAAAATATCCCATAAAAAGTACCACATTTTTTTTTTAAATCTCCCACTAATTTTTCATTTGAGGTTGGCAGGTCTGGATACTATAAAATACCTTAACATATTGTATGTATGTACCTGTGAATAGGATACTGGCAGAGAGGAAGATATTTCCCCTAGCAATACCATGGAAGAGAGTCTGGGAACTCCATAGAAATGACTTCCCACAGGTGTTGCAAAGCTGTCTCAGGCCAAGCATGGTACCCTGAACTCCATCAACAATGACTGACGTTTCACTGCTTTTGCAGTGGAAACACAAAGTGAACAGGGTCATTAACTGTGACAGCTGGACAATGAACATAGAAGTGTCATCAAACTGTTGCCTGAAATGAGAATTTACTTCAATCATCATATTATCAAACTTCTGTACTTCTATTTAATTTGGGCTTTGTACCTCATACCCACCTAAGTGGGACATGATACAGTCATTGGAGGGTTCAATTTTAAAGATTTTTAAATCTCAAAATATTTGAAATGAGAAAAATTAATCCTTGGCAATCCCACACTTTTTTCTTTCATAATACGATAATGGGTGTCCATTTTTAAAAACACTAGTTGCCTGCTGCTAATGAAAGCTCTGCATTGCAAGGCATTAAAACTAAATGAAAGGGGGTATTTATCATTGTGCTCAAAATCGAATTTACCTTTTTATTGTATGATCCTCTTCAAAGTCTTCATCCTCTGTCATAGAGTCTTCATCATCGTCATAATCATCAGGTTTGGGTTCCCAGTCTGGATCCATTGCATCGTCCTCCATTGGCTCATCGTCTGATTCCTCATCTGATGACTCGTCTATTGTATTTGTCTGGGTACTGATGGACATAGTTGAAGGTTTGGCCTCAGGTAAAGTTTGGACACCTGAAAATGTGTGCTCATGTATATTATTATCACATACTGTACTTGAAATATCTGGGGATCCACTTTTCCTATTTAAAGGTGCAACAATTAGTGCAGAGAGTTTACGCATGTTTTATTTTTATTACTATGGTAACTCTCCACTAGGTCGAAAAATGTTGACTTGAGTTATTTTGTAAAAATGTAATGACAATTACCTGCGTTCCTGAGATTAACTTTGGTTGTCTGGACTTGCTTCACACGTGTTAAGTGAAGTTGGACTTGTGTGACTTGTGTGTTGGCACATTTTGTGGTAACCTGTGCTTGTGATGCAGCTTCTTTGGTTGGACAGTCAGGGATATAATGACAGGGAGACGGAGTAGTTGTTCTCTGGATCTTGGCCTTGACAGCGACAGGGCTCCAGGGGGTCATATCAAGGGCATTCTTGAGAGCATCTTGATGAGCCTAAAACATTGTGTAAATTCTTAAAATATTTGGATTGTAACCCATGAATTCCTAGCCCTAAAATATCCATATTTTACTGATGGGTCAATCCGGCAAGTTAAATAGTAGAAAAATTTTCAAAATTTGCCCAATCCTCTGAATCAAATACAGTCTGAGCAATAAATAAATGAGCAGTGGATTAGCTGAAGTGAGGATTTTCTTACATAAGTGAATTTACAAGAGGCCACACATCAGTGGATGACAGTATACAAAATGTAAAATATACAAATTTTAAGGGATATGTATCTAGACAATATTTGAAACTATGGGCTTTCAAACCACCATTGTTTGGAAATGGTGATAAATAATCTATTTACAGGGTAAAGGAAGCTTTCCTTTATTACTTACTCTTTTCAAAAAAGCACCTCTCTTTGGAGTACATGTATTACTAGGAGACGCACATGGGGTTGGAGATGCACATGGGGTTGGAGACGCACATGGGGCTGGAGCCGCACATGGGGTTGGCGACTTTGGAGTGTCAGTCTTGATTGTGGGCACTGCATCATTTTTCAATGTCCGAGGCCTACAAATATAAGATTGGCAAACAACATGTCATGTTCTGTAAAATTAACAAAATAATAGAAACAGGTTTGAACCATTTTGTGCACAAAATTGGACAAGAGTTCTACAAACCCCCTGGTACCAACCCACTGGCAGATCTGGGGGGGGGGTCAGAAAAAAAATTGGGCCCAAAAAGCACTCGGGGCCCAAATAAGTGGGCCTTTTTGGCATAATTGGGCCTTGCCCCCCCCCTGTTGATTCCCAGATCCACCCCTGCAACCAATCATACCAGTGGATCGGTACATGTGACCATTTGATGAGCCTCTATGGTGAAAGGAATTCGGAAAACATGGGAAATAAATATTAAAAAACGAAAAATATTTTTTATTTCCTGGTTCAAATTTGCAGATTCCCGAGGTGATATTCACACTAAATAATCACACAAACTCTGTCAAATACTGCTTATAGATCTTACTTACATGGGTTTCTGTCCCATCGATAAGAGTATGGCATTTTTCGTCTCATTTACATCGAAACAATCTGGGTTGAAATGAGCAGAGCAAACTCTGCTTTTCTCACTGGGAGTGAAATCCCGCCTCGTATTTTTCACAAAGTTACACCACAATCGGGACATCTTGGGGTCTTTTGGCCATCTAAACAACGAAATCCCCTCTCGGGGCACGTTGCTACAGCTCCCCACCACACACCTATTCGGCATTTAGTACTACTAAGGCTCGTTTTGTCTTCAGTTTTGAAAAAAGTTTTTTGTTCAATGGCGAACTCAAGCAATTCCAAAACGAGGCTGAACCCCCCTCCCTCTGATGATGTATTTGGATTTCAGAGGTCAACAGGTACAATAAATGAAGCAAATATCGGCAATTTTCTATTATGCTTTACTTAATAACAGAACATGTTTTTTTTGTTTTTTATTTATTTATGTGATATGTTTATAGTATAAGGATTTTATTAAGATAGGACACCCATGTAATTTGATAAACGTTTGAACTACATCTTTAAAAACAGTTTACCCATTGTAAAAAGCCACTTACCATAAACTATCTCCAGCCTTGACTTTCTTTGACAATAATGAGTTTTAAACAGGTCAAATTGAATCAGTTAAATGGAATATGCAAATATGCAAAATGTAATAAATATAATTTATTATTTAATTTATTTATTTTAATTTTATTATAGTGTCATGAGTTAAAATACAATTACATATTTAAAACAATAGTACACTGTTAAAATCACCCCAGGCCCCCTATGGGCCTATAAGACACTTTTGTAAAAACATATTAATCAGGTTTTGTAAATAAAATGTTCCCGTCGCTTAAGCATCCGGTCACAGGCTTTTGCTGTGAAAAGACAAATTCTGTCATTAGACATTAAACACTGAAATTTACTCTCTTCATCTAAATTCATGAAACCAGTTACAATAGTAGAAACGTTTGCATACAAGTCTAAACGGATGTCTTCATAACGAGAACAGTTCAGAGTTACATGTCTTTCGTTTTCAATTGCAATATCACATAAGGGACACACCCTTTCATCAACTGGCAGCCTTTCATACCGACCAGTTTCTATTCTTATTGGTGCTACACCACATCTTATTGAGGCAAATGGCTTTCTTTGAGAGATAGAAAGCGTTGATGTAACATATCTTTCTGTTTTTATGTCATGTTTATAGGTTCTAAAAGTTCTGAGTTTGTTTCCTTGTTGCCGCTTTGAATCGTCCCAGAGTCTTGTTTGCCAGTTGTTCTGCACTTGACGTTCCAGAGGTGACACAATCGCCGACACCGGGTCGTCATCATTAACCTGGAGAGAATCGTAAACCTGCCTCAGGTGGTATAAGGTGTTTTTCTTTCCACTGTTAGCACGTAAAACATTCCAATGGTAAATACGGTTGGTCAACCTATTGTGGCTAAGGGACTGAAGTCGCAAGTTAAACTTATGGTTTTTCTTCATCTGTTTTTCAAATGGTGAGGTCCACCCCATCTCGCCCTGGACAGCAAGGTTGGGTGTATACCTGCCTAATCCAAGAAATGCTCTACAGGCTCGGTGAAAAACAGTATTAATACATGCATACTCCTTAAATCCCCAGACTTCTGCACCGTATTCCAAAATTGGTGTGACTAAACTATCGTACAGTCTTGTAAAGCACTTAAATGGCATACCACCATTTGCCTTGTACTTGGCAATTACTAGACCTAGAGCGCGACTTGCTGCCTGTGCGATAGAGGTAGCCATCTGGGTAAAGTCTAAATGCTCGGTTTGGAATCTATGCCTCAACACTTCATGATTGAATATTGACCCTAATAAGTGGCCTATACACTGTTGCTCATAAATATGGAATATTTTATAGATAAGAACTGTTCGATGGAATTTCTACAAAATGATAACATTTTGATGAAAGTTTGTAATATGTACTCATTCCCTCATCAGTTTTGCATATAAAACTGATCTGCATGAAAAGTTGAAACATTTATGGTTGATTAAACTCATATTCACTCAGGTGACCCAATGACCTCATGATATTGGTAACTTGAAGAAGGTGTCCAAATCTTAGTTGTAATCATTGTACACATTTTATAAAATTTTAATTTAGAGTTGGAAGAGTTTTTAGAGGGCATGCCCCATAGAATAAGTGAAAAAGAGCATGCCTGGTCATAGGGACGGCGCTCTCTGGCATGAAACAAACTGCCATTGCCAGGACCCTAGGGGTGTGTCAGGAACAGTCTCTAAAACTTTGCAGTGGTACCAAAGGCACTATAATAAGACTCCAGGTCACAGCAATAGTAGCCCCAGAGAGAAAAATGTAAAAGACCACCACCTACTGCATTTATGTCATCAAAATCGCTTATTAGTCAACCAGTAGTCTACGAGGTGAATGGCTGCCCCACCTCAAAACCTGTGTTCCAGAGCTATAGAGAACCAGTGATTTCTTTATAAAGGATGCAAGGCCACGAGACCTTTAAAGAGACAACAGCTGACTGATCATCATAAAAAAGAAAGGTGCCTTCAATGGGCAGGAAAGCACCAAAAACATTGGACCTAATCTTTGGTGTCATATGACAGCATGTGAAGAAATAAGATGTGTTCTCCACAAAGTTGATAATTGTATTCGTTTTCTGTCGTAGACCAGGGGAAAGAAACAATAAGGACACTTACTGATGTAGCAGTGCATGAAAGCGACCCTATTTACGTTTGGAGTAGTATTACAGAGGTTGTTTGGAGCAGTACTACAGAAGTTGCACCCCCTTGGTGATTCCAAAACATAATTTCAGAGTAATTTGACCTTTTGGACCTCCATCAAGTACCACATGCAAACAGAGTGTTTTGGGGCAACATTCAACTAAGAGAATAATCATGCTGATGCATATGCTAGTGGCATTGTGTTGGATTACATCAGGGCAGGCAATATGGACCAGCTACCATGGGCACAAAAGTCAGCCAATCATGCTAATGCAGAGCAAATGTGGGACGACCTTGGTAATGAGATTCGTGACTTGGACCCCCACCTCAAAATTTAGACACGTTACGCACTGGCCAGATTGAGGAATGTGGCCTTATTTCACTTATAAAGATCAGATGTTTCAATCTATGCTGGTCCCGTAGGGTTGATGCTCTGATTGCAGCACAAAGAGGACAAAACGCATATTAGTGCTATCATTGGATAGAGGACACTTCAATCTTCATGACCAGATGTTTATTCTGTTGGATCTGTTTTACATGACGATTTGGATCGGGGTGTTTTGAAAATGCAAAAATTCTTAGGGTACCCCTGTTTAAATAACATTAATTTTCTAAACTTAAATGTGAATATTTTTTCTCTAGAAAACGTTGATTTGTAGATGAAATATGTGGTTATGATTTGCATGGAAAATAAATGTCTGAACCAACTCCAAATAATTGTTCTCTTACTCCAAACTTTGAATTGTGAGCTGCCAAATCTAATATTCCATATTTATGAGCAACAGTGTACATCAATGCTGAATATAAGTCAACAAGATACTAGTGTGCATATATATGTAATAATAAAGGCAGTATACTCATTTTGAAAAATCAGATGAATTAATTTTTTTGGGGTGATCATAAGGGAGAGCGCACTACTTCCTTTACATCTTTAAATACGTTTGGTAATCTTTGGTTAATACTCACTGAATGGGGAATTTGAAATATGTTTTTCATTGAATTAATCAAAGAATTACTAACACATATTACAAAATCAAATATAATGTTAATCATTTGATTTGAAACTTGACTTGAAAGAAGTGAGGTCAACAACATTAAATATTGTCAAATTCTATTTGCTTGTGATAAAATTTGGGTATATTATCAGTCGGTTTCATAGAATCATGAACTATCGATGACTCTTGATTATTGGCATTCTTTAATCCTATTTGAACTCAGAATCAGGCTAATAAATGGTTTATGATTGACTCAAAAGTGACTTACATATTTTTCACCATGACCAACCATCCTTTTGAAACAATGTGTTTGTACTGACATAACCTATAAAACATAACTATTTAGCGTGAATACCATCACTCTACCCTACCTCGTGACCACTTTTAAAAGGGATAAAGGTAACAGTGAAGTTGCGAATGGAGTTGGTATTTCTCTATGTCTGGAATTTATGTTAAATCTAGAATACCTTCAGAAATATGGAAATAAACAAACGTCCTCCATTTGCAACTTCACCGTAGCCTGTATGCCCGTAGAAATATAGGCTATAGTATGGGGGTAGGGCAGTGTGACTATATATAGTATATATATGCATCCTCATAACCTCTTTTCCCGCTCGATGTGTTGACTTGAAACATGTCCATGAGCAATTTTGTAGATAGACATCACGAGAAATAATGAATTTAGTCATGCCATATCAGCCAACAACCAATTTTAGGTGATCTCCTGGTTTCCATGGTATCTCTAGTCTGGTTATGTCACCTCACAATTCGATTTGATTCTTTAAATCAAGAGATATGAATTTATTAAACGTTTCTTTTGGTTGCATGTACTTCTATATTCATAATCTTTTTGTTTATGAAACGCTTATTATTGGTACCATATTGGCAGGTACAAGTACCATATTGCATTATTGTATGAAGTAAATTAAACAAATAATATAGTCAAACAAGCAATATACTTCAATGAATTAGAGTGTGTAGAGTTCATACCCCGTTATAATAATCATGATGGATTGAGCTCGCTTTGTGATGACTGTTTTCAACCCCGGCCATTTTCTTTCACGTAACATAATTTCATTCTGAATTGTGATAAATGACTAAGATACACCCTTTTGAAACAGTGTGTATTATTGTATTTCCTATCGATGTTTTGTTTTGTTCAATATTGTGTTCTCTTTAGTATAATGATATCATTGATACATAAGCATAGGTTCTCAAGTTGAGTTATTCTAAACATAAGCAGGAGTTTAAAAACTGCTTAATGTAAGAGCAGTAATGGACAATAGACTAGATGCGAGTGAAAATAATCTTGATTTACGTCATTACGTACATTGTAATTGAGGAGAAAATGGGAAAATTTGGATATAAAGTGAAGTAACATCTCTCATCATGTCGTATAGACATGTTGCTCCCCCCTCCGTCCCCTCCCCCCCCCCCTCCGTCCAATTTTAATTATTTTCGATTATTTTTTATACAACGTATGGAAAATATTTTGTAAAGTCATTAAGGTCATTAATTTTATGATGATAATGTCACTTACAAATATTTATTGCAGGTTTTGTAGACCGTTGATGCTTGATTTAAAGCAAAAACATTGACTTTTGCACGTTGGTGGCGTTGCGCCTTTTTTAATAGATCTTATACCTAAGAAGAGAATCGGCTAAAAAAGAATTCGTAGAATACGTGACATATTTTACCATACCGTGCGCCTATTCGTTTAGC